TACCCCCCGCCGCTGCCCGTCGTACCCCCCGATGCGAGTGTCTAGAGGCCTCGGCCTGGTCTTTGCCGCCGACACCGTGCGTTTCGCAGTTCAGATAATCGGCGACAGTGACGGTAGCCGTGCTGCAAAAATTGTTTTGAAAATGGCCGTAGCTGCGTGTCTCTTAGTATTTGTGGGTCTCTTATATGTGTGTATGCAACTTAAAAATACTGTGAGCTGTGCTCTTGTTTCTCTGTTCCTTTTTTTTTGGCGTTGGGGAGCATTGTGCAACACCAGCTTAATGAGTTCTTCACCCTTTATTTTTAAAGGTAGAAGATGGCTGAATACTTGAAAAAGCCCTTCAAAGACAGTCTGGGTGATATAAAAGAACGAATGAAAGAGAAAAGAAATCAGAAATGGACAAGGTTGGGTAAAATTAGCCAGCTCTCCACAGTAAAGTGCAAAATAGCAAGTAAGATGCTTAAATATCTTAACAGTGTTCATAATGTTTTTTTTTTAAACCAAGTTGAAATACTCACTGTTCTGTTGCAGCCAACAGCTCCATGCAAATGAAGAGCATCCAAGCAAACAACAGAGCTCTAGCTCAGGCTTTGCAAGAAGAAAAGCTCAAACTGAGGGATGCCCAGGCCACCATTCTTCATTTAAGGAAAGAGTATCAAGATCTGAAGGTTCAAATGTTTAACTTGCAAAGAAATCTTAGGATCAAGCAAGCACAAGGACTTGTTGAGGTATTTTAAATAATAACTTCATGATTTAGTGAAGCTGAACATCAGAATCTGCACCAATCCACTGATATCTTTATGATCTTATATGATTCATAAAAAATTAACTCAATATATAGAACAAGTGTTTTCATATTTTCACCTAATCTGGTCATTAACTAAATATATTTTTTTTTTCTGTCTACTCTTTCTTCTTTAATTAAAATCTATCTTCTGTAAATGTTTTTTTTTCAATCACAGTTGAAGGTACCTGACACAGGTATCTTAGGGATTTAGTCATCTCATGATACCATTAGGAATTTATTACATTGGTAGTTGATACTAGAGTATGACAGTAACAGTGTTATTTTCCTTCTTTTGTCCATTAGAATCGACTGTCAGCCTTGAATGAAATAATTTCAAAAGTTTCTCAGAATTTACTGGACTCAATTGATCTTCTTGGCCCAGCAGAGAATTTGTGTTCCATGGATGTAGTAAGTACCTTTTCCTCTTGAGGGGCAGGATTTCTGTTGATTCTTCCCCTTACTCCTTCCAGCATAGATGCACGTAGTTTTTGATATTTGAGCCTTAGTTTGGAGGTACAGCTAGTTCCACAGTTCCCAGTATGACACGGGGCCCACGCTGTGGGGGTGTGTAGTAGGTTGTTAGTGGGACAGAGGCTCTGCTACAAGGTGGTAGGGGCACCCTGATTTTCTGTGGTTTTGTGTCTTGTTCCCTGTACCATCCTCACAGTTCCTTCCCCTGTCCACTGTCTGTATGATTGGGCTGGTGATGAATGTGCTGACTTGCAGGAGCTGACTATGTGAGATCCCACAGCACTTTGTGTTAGCCAGCCAGAAAGAAAGAGTCGAGGGCCTCTTTGGCCCCTCTGTGGGTAGCTTGGCTGTTGTCTAAAATTTGTATACGGTGCAAGCTTGTCTCAGCTATTTAGTCACGGTAAGATTTATTTTGTTGACAGAGAGTGCTTTCTTCAGTTCTTGAAAATAGTTCCAGTGTCGTAGGACAAATAAGTTCCGTGTAAGTATCTTTTATTAATATCTATTTATATTTGAAAATTCTGTTACAGTAAGCTTAATTTTCTGACTGGAAAAAGGGAAGAAATCCAATGTAATGAAGTAGTTCATTGTCATAAAATTATATTGCTATTCAGTAAATGCCTTGGTATTTTCTCTAGAGGACCTCTACAGTGTGCTGATGGAGATGACCAAGTGCTTCCAAGTGGGATGGAGGCTGATAGTGGTAGAAATGAGCTGGCTCATTCTGTGTCAGAGATCTGTGAGGAATCTGGCAATGCCATTTCCTTAATCAAAATCGTTCCAGACAAAGGTAACTAAATCAAAGTATCAGACATTGCTCTATTCTGAATCCGGAAAAAAATGTGTGAGTATAAGCTTAAAATGTAATTACTGTTTCTGAAGTAACTGTTAAGTAATTTTCTACTTCCTATCATAAAGGTTAGATATTAACGTTGGCAACTTGTAAACTTTTTGAATGAAGATGCCTAGCAAAATGGGGGAGGAATTTGAAAATGCTTTGTCTTCTATATACCTGCAATCTAGTTTCATTATCTACCGAACAGTTCAACAGAGTAAAGTCATCTTTAGTCGTGCATTATCATTCATAGAATCATAGAATCATTAAGGTTGGAAAAGACCTCTAAGATCATCGAGTCCAACCGTCGACCCAACACCACCATGCCCACTAAACCATGTCCCTAAGCGCCGCATCTACACATCTTTTAAATACCTCCAGGGATGGTGACTCAACCACTTCCCTGGGCAGCCTGTTCCAATGTTTAACCACTCCTTCAGTAAAGAAATTTTTCCTCGCATCCAATCTAAACCTCCCCTGGTGCAACTTGAGGCCATTTCCTCTCGTCCTTTCGCCAGTTACTTGGGAAAAGAGACCGACCCCCGCCTCGCTACAACCTCCTTTCAGGTAGTTGTAGAGAGCGATGAGGTCTCCCCTCAGCCTCCTTTTCTCCAGGCTAAACAACCCCAGTTCCCTCAGCCGCTCCTCATAGGACTTGTTCTCCAGACCCTTCACCAGCCTCGTTGCCCTTCTCTGGACACACTCCAGCACCTCGATGTCCTTCTTGTAGTGAGGGGCCCAAAACTGAACACAGTATTCAAGGTGCGGCCTCACCAGTGCCGAGTACAGGGGCATGATCACTTCCCTACTATGAAATCAACAATTGTTAACAAAGTTAAATACTCAGAAAAAATGACCTGTAGATAACAGAACAGTTTACAGGAAAATCCTAATGTAGTATACTTAACTGCTTTCTGTCTGGAAGCTGTATTAAACAGAGCTTATCTTGATTGTCAAATACTGGTTTATACAAATCTGTGGAGAAAATTCTAAGAATAGTCTTAATTTTTGACAGGTTCAGAATTTGCACAAAACCTTAACAGGTTGTTACTATTTAGCTTTAATGTGACTCTTTCTCTTCAATTACAAGGACGAACATCAGATTTTCACCTGGACAACATAGGGTCAGAGCTGGAAAATGTTTCTTCAAGTGGAGAGGACAGATTTGGTAATGTGTTACCAAAAAGTGTGTCCACCAGGCGTCGCTATTCAAAGATGAGAAATCACAGTGAACTTTGTGCTGGTGTCTTGGACCATTCAGAAGCACCTGATTCAACAAAAGAGATTTCTAAAGAGGGTGAAATTAGACTTGAGGACAGTCTAGCAACATGTACTGTAGAAAGCATAAATTCAGATATTTCTCAGTTAAATGAAAAGGTAGGTTCAGAGCTGGTATTGAGGCGGATAGATTCTGAAACTGCACAGTTCAACTTAAACAATAATTCTGATCTTAAACAATGTGAGTGTAAAAGCAGAGAAGACTCTCAAGTAAGGAAAGAGAAGCATCAGAAGGGAAAACTGGAATGGCCTAAAAATACTTCCAGACAAAGACCAAAAAAAAGACAGGGTAAAGAGGCTTCCAAAGAAAAGTTGGATTTCTTGGGTGGCTCCAGTGATGCTTATGACTTTCATTTTGAAGAGCGTGTCCATGTTACACCTTTTCGACAAAATAAGGTGAATGACAAAGATACTGGTGTGGATGACAAAGACGACGTACCTGAAACTAATACCATCGAGTCAAGCGATACTGAAGAAGATTCAGATGATAGCCTTTATGAGCCTTACAAGAGTAAATCGAAAAAAAGGAAAAGTTCAGTGGACAAGAAAGATATATCGCCAGTCCATGCAAGGCCAAGGTCTAAAAGATGTTTGGCACAGCGTGAGCAGAAACTCCATAATGAAAAAGAGACTGAAAGTAATAAATCAAGTGACAAGTCTATTAGTAAGTGTAGAAGGTGTTCTGTAATTGGTTTTGTTTCCTTGAGAGATAACATTGTTTAAGGGATTTAGGCTTTTTTATTTTAGTTTCTTTAATAAATACAAACAGAATAATGTTATAAAAATCATTAGAGTCGTTCTTCTGTGTGCCTTCCCCCCCCTCCCCCCAGCAGAAATCTGAATTAAAGATACATTCTGTTTCGGAAATTGGTCAACAAAGAATTAATACTGTATTTTAGATGTGTTTAATGATGTATTAAAGCTGAGGAAAAAGAGATCAAGACTATAAATTGAGAGAGAAGTGGAATAACACATCACACTTTGCCTGCCACTGCTTAGTGTTAATTTATTTTTCCAAATTAAAATCCTGAGTATTTGTTGATTCTCCTATGTATTCTTAAGTGAAAAGATGAAGATAATAGTTATAGCTGAGAGTTCCTTCACATCTAGTATGTTCATTGACATTCTCTTTTAAGTTAGCTTGCCTGAATTGTCTTAACTGTGTGTAATTTCTTCCTAGGGCAGCCTTCTGAGCCACCTCGTGGTCATCTCTGTGATGTTACCAATACCACCTCATTGCTCCCCAGCGCTGGGAATGTAACTATTGTTCCAGAAGGTGAAGGACGACGATCTCCAAAACGCAAGCGAAGCTGTACTCTTACTGTGAGCTATAAAGAACCAAGTATTGCAGGGTAGGTGTCTTACTTTCCAGTTTGATATAAAGTTCATAGTATTCCATCAAATGGAGGATTTGAGGGGATTATTTAAATATTGGAAATAAGTTCTTAACAAAACATTCAGAGAGGTCCGATGTTAGTAACACAAAATAGTTCATGTGAAATTGAATTTATGGGCTGAAAGTTAATGTTTTAAGTGATGTGGGGAACAAAACTCAATTTTGTCTCTTTTTTTCTTTAACAGGAAACTCAGGAGAGGAGATCCATTTACAGATACAAATTTTCTGAATTCTCCAATTTTCAAGCAGAAAAAAGATGCTAAACGCTGTTCTCTTAAGAAAGAACCTCTGTCAAAATACGATGAGAAATTTGTTGGTTGTCGTTGAGATTTCCAGTCATGATAGCAAAACCATGCTTGCTCCATGAAGAAAGGAAATCTTTCATCCAGGAAATTATTGTTGCACAATATCTTACACAAATATGCAATTATTTCTATGTGCCCAATAGTACAGATATAAAATTAAGGTGTTTTCTTTTTAATCCAGTGACTTGTTTTTTAATGATACAGAAGACACAAGACTACTCTTATAACTAAGGTGATTCCATTCCAACTCTTGAGAGGAGGCATCCCTGCATCATGGATCTGTGAGTAAATCAGAAATACCTGATGGAAAAGATGGTGAATGTAATTTTGTGACTTATACCCTGCCTGATCTCACAGTGGTTGGCAAAGGTGAACTTCAGACGCTTAGGATCAAATGTTTTTGTGGCTTTTTTAACAACAAAGTTTGTACAGATCTTTTTTATGTAAAGGTTGTAGTTTCATGTTGAAGCTCAGAATAAATGTCTTGGTGTTTGGGAACAGCTCAGAGTTGGTTGGTGTTCTTTTTGCAGGGTTTCTGTATTTGCTTCAAGGGTAGCAATGTCAGCAGTAGGCATACTGCAAGCCAGTGTACTCCTTCCCCATCTTATGTGGCATAAGCATAGTTTAGAAGCAAGATTGCCGGTTGTAATTTGATTATGTAGCTGGAGTTCTCAAAAGTAGTAATTTAGGGTTGGTTGGTACTGCTATGAACGCAAGTTATAATCAACTTAAATTTGCTTTGTTCCTATCTGGTTGTCTGTGATGGTTGGTGAAGAGTGCTCCGCTTTGTCAGAGCATAAAGTAAACTACTATTATGGGATGTTGTAATAATTTTGGCCCTGCTTCGCCAAGCGCCTTCACCGGAGGAAGGTCTGCCGCATCGGAACTGGTCCCATTTGGTACCACGGCAGGCAGTATGCTAGAACACTGTTATAGACTGTCCAGCAAGATCTCAGGGTTGCAGAGCACTCCAACTAGCTTTGCTTTGCTTGAGAAGCATTTAAGAAGTATTAATGGATACATGAATACAAAGAGGAAAGCTACATTCAAAATAAATAATGGGAAAGTACAAAAATACAGGTTCTTCATTTGTCTTGCAAGACTGCCTGTCTCACCTGTCCCACTTCAAGAGGTGTAAGATCTCTCCCTTTCTGTAGTAAAAATGTATAGTGTTAATTATTGTTTTACTGGTAACTTCTAGATGACGCTCTCAACAGCAATAACAAAAGCTGCAGCTACTGACTGAAAGTATCTGTTCACAACACAGCCTTTAGATGTTGGAACTGAAACTTAACCTTCCATTTGTATCCTAAAATTCTAGCTCTGGGCACTACCATCTTCCTTCTGAAACTCTTTAGTACTACAGGAACTTAAGCAGAATGATTTAACTTCAGGTGCTCTTGTCTTTCAGTGAACAAATCTGTAATAGTTGTTTATCAGGGACCGAAAAAGAACAGCGTGATAGCAGAGCAGCCCAAGGCAGGTGTGGTGGGTCTGGGGTTTTTTTTTTTTTTGATTGCGTAAGCTTGAAGAATTGCTGCAGTTCCATCACCGACTGATGATGCAGTTGGTGATGTGGAAATTGATGCAGTTCCATCACCAACTTTTCTCAACTGATATTCCTAGAAGCGTCTGAGAAAACAGCTAAGCCTCTTTTGACCACTGTTTGCTACCCTCTGAACAGTACACTCTTCTGTGATGTGGCACAGGACTAAATCTTAGCAGGTGGGGGGGAAAAAATATTTCTTCGTACTCTCTAATTGTCTGCCCAAGGTATTGGGCAGATGCAGGGCTTGTTCATGGTATGCAACATAAAACAAGTGTACCATCTGAGTAACGTCGTGGTGGTAGCAGGTAAGCATGGGCTCAGCATGGACTGTAGTTTGCTCCCATGTATATAGTGTCCTGTGAATAAAGGACTCTAGTAGGCAAAAATGAGAAAACAGCACGAGCATGCTTTGAGATGAAAAATTAAAGCTCTTGAACAGCTCAGTCAAAGAATTGTTTGAGATGTTGAGGAGAGGGGAGTAACGGCAGCACTGTAGCTCCGTTAGCATGGAGCAGAGAATGCTGCTTGGAATGGTCACAGCTTTCCATACTGAATTCTCGGGTCGGTTTAGCACACCATGCTTCCAGGGAACTCCAAGGCTTTTTTGTGTATTTTCTAGTGTACCTGGAAGGTGCACTGACTGCACTCTTGTAATGCACTGTGCTCAGCTGCGAAATTACTTCAATGTGTAGATTTGTAGTGCAAGAACTAATTAATGAAAAAAGAGACCAAAATAAGTAGGGTTTTGTACATATATAATTTAAAACTATTCTGTACCAGTACAATATATTAATTTTACAAATGTAAAGTTCATCAGCTGTTAAAGCATTTGCAAAACCACATATCCTACCGTAACTTTATTGCACAGTATCTATGAAAATATTAATTCTTAAATTAGAAAACAAATGTTTCAATATAGAAGAGACAATCTGATTGAAAGACGATAAGAAAATCTACTCTGAAAATAACAAAATTTCACAGGATACCAAGCTTAACAGGTGCATCCGTAGGCCCAATCTACAAAACAGGATTATAGCATCCAGTACTGGCTATTAAAAAAAAAAAAATACTCACTGTACCTTTGTTATAGATCCAAATGTAGGTCAGACTAATCTCATACAAAACACTATGGCAAGTCTAGTGTTAACATTTTGCATACCGTGTGTACCACAGTTACTACTTCCAGGTAGCTCCTGACATCTACTTGCTGAATTGACTTGTGATTTAACATTGCACAGGCATTTTGCAGGAATATGTTCTTTGACACAGCACAGGATTTGGGGGGTTTTCAGTCTTATAACTACTGAATTTTACCAGTGTAACATCTGTAAATATAAAACACCAAGAATGAAAGGTAAATCTGTTTTTCACAAAAGCAATTATAACTTACAGTTACAAACTCTAATTAGAAAATGTCGTGTGACAGCTTTTTGGCCTGTACTGATCTCCATTAGGAAGTTAGGTGTACCTCTTAAATGTAGTGTAAGCAGCAAAATATATATATATAAAATATATATAAGTGCTCAGTTTGAAGATATCCTAACGTGAGTTGTAAAATGTTAGTATGTTCCTGGGTCTAAATAATCACAGTTAATAAGCGTTTACAATAAAGCTTGGTAGAAAATCCAGTTTACCACAGAGCCAAGTATATAAGCTAGAAGCTGTCATATGTTGACTTCTTTTGTGTACAATAGCCTTATCTCTGCTGAATAATATAAAGAATTTATCAGTGAAGAGTAGTAAATAGGGTGGATCATGAAGTGCATCAAAACCTTAACTCTACTAAGCCAATTGAAATTGTTTAGTATATGCGAATCAGATTCTCTGAAGTTATTTTGGGTACTTATGTCCTGCATAAGCCAAGTCACTATGACATTACACATCTAGCCAGATTTTTTTTTTTTAATAGTGGTTATGAGATTACAATTTGCAGGTAAAATATTTATCAAAACCCAAAATGAATAGGAAAACTTGCATCTATCAAAGATTACAGGCAGTCCTTTTTCAGAACTGGCTGCTCTTCTCTCACAGCTTCTCAACCAGCTGAGTGTTTCTTTTAAAAAATAATATCTTATAAAAAGATTCTACAAAGAAATAAGTGTTTCAGAACCCCCCCCCAACTGTTGTTTTCCCTTACTGTTTTCTTTTTTACTGGAAAAAAAAAAATAAAACTTTATCAAATAGGTACTGCATTAGGTAAGCTATAACATCTGTTGCTTGGGAATTTTCTTCGTATTCCCAAACATGTGCAATTTCCCACATGTTTTGTGGGGTTTCTGAGGCTGTAGCTGATAAACTTATTATGAACATACGGTAATGGGCACACAAAAGAAATCTTCTGTAATTAAATACATTATAAAGCATTTTAATAAAATAACTTTTGTAACTTCAGTATAATACAGGTTTGCAAAACTAAAAGGGTTTTTAAAAGTGCTAAGTATTCAACAGAAGTTTCTCAAAACCTTAAAGTCCCACAACTCAGATATATAACGGCTTCCCCCGCCCATAAAGTAGGCACACTGATTGGCTGTAAAAAAAGACAGTGTCACTTGTCAATTAATCCAGCTTCTTTAATTTTTGTGTAGAAGAATTTCTCCAGTATATTGGCACATTTGTAGTATTCACTCTCGGGGGGGTTGTACTCTCTGCAATTTGTAAAGACTCGCTGCAAGTCTGCCATGAATAGTTTCTTAGACACGTAGTACCTATTCTTGAGTCGCTCACTCATTGTTTTGAGATCTGTACAGGAGAAAAATAGATTAACAGCGTTTGATTCAAATACTTTTCGCATGCAATATCCCTTTAGACTGATTCGCCATTTAACGTGAACTGGCAAAGCTAGGGTTTGGAATTCCTCATTTCCTTCATCGAAGGCATGGTCCCTTTTTTAGCTTCAACAGCAATTAAGCCCCTGGAACTAAGCAATGTTTCACTGTAAGAATGATTTTGTATAGAGTTTATTTTTTCCTCCTTTAAAAGATTAAAGCATCATTCTTTTGTGTTCTCGTACTTCTCTTGAGTTTTCAGTGGGTATTAGGTGTCCCTAACTCTCCTTCCCAACCGCCCTGTGAGGCAAAGCTGTTGTCAGCTCTGCTGGAGGAGGCCTTAGGAGTGTATAAGCAAAGAATTCAAACATCACAAAACATGTATGTTAACCTCAAATCCTCACTTCTGTGCGAACACAGCAGAGAAGAGACATCTGTCTATGCTACCAGCAGTACTTGCAGCTTTGAAAAAGAGATTAAATGTTCCACACTCTTACGTATATTTTAATTACAGCTTCAAAGTTTATAGTTATGTACCCCTTTTTAAGTCATGTGAGAACAGGTCTCTTGCTTTCAATGCATCATACAAAACCTTTACTTACAGAACATTCTTTAAGAAATGTTTTCCTTTATACTAAAATCAGTAATCTGTAAAAAATGTAAATCATCTCAGTGTTCTCCACACAGTTGCTTTCCCAGTAATTCTTA